TGGTGCTTCAGAATTTTTGACTGTCAGCATCAGAACTTCTCTTTCTTGTGTCTTGTTTTAGCTTCTCTTCAGAGCTTCTTATATGTTCTTCTTCTTCAGAGCTTCATATGTGATTTTTCACGTCATTAACTTTCTTGCTTTCATAATAACTTCTCTGTAAATTCAATCAAACGATTAGAGAGCATAATTTTACTTCATAATAATCATGTAATTGTTATCATCAAAACTAATACTTAGATGTAGAACCAAACTATGTTCTAACAAGGTTTATATCTCTTTTTCATTATTTGTTTAAAGATGTCACTTATGAGAATCATGCTTGTAGTTTGTACTCAATTCATTATGAGCTAAACATTTTGTAGTTGACCAATGTGAAGTTAATATTAAATTATTTTTGTGTTATATGATGTGTGGCTAAGTGACTTGTTTTATTATATGTAAACTTATTATAAGTCAATTTCTTTGAATGATCAACTTAGGAGTAGATAACAGCTTGTTGTTGTGAAAGATCCAACAACAAGTGGTTTCCTTAATAAAAATGGTTGAACGAGTAGGATAGAGATATTCACTCATCTAGCTTGCTTAGAGTTAAGGAGCTGTAATTATTGAGGAATTCAGAATACAACCGGACATATGTTAGGGTTATAAGTGAGGCTTAGAGATTTGTTTCCTTTCCTTTTATATGCATATACTTTGATGTTGTAGACATACACCACAAGATCACTCTCACCTCACTTGTCACGATAGTGCACATCATCACACATATTTACTTCTAGAATATTAATGGATTATGGCTTAACTCATTTACTCTTAATATGTTTCCACTCTTTCTCTACATTATTCAGATCTGTTTTAAGTAAATGCTGAACATAACACACCACATATTATTTCTCTTCTTGCTCATGCTTAAAACTCAAATATAGTCAATTACAAAATCAATCTAAGTAACTACATCAGACCCTGTGGGTTCGACGCTTTTATCTTTATCACTTGCTGCAATCAAACATACACGTATACTTGCATCACTACTACAAAACACACATTCAACAATGCCATGGTCACCACGGTTCTTCCCTACATCGTGGTGACATCTCTAAACTAAGCGGCTACCATATTTATTTTGTTTTTTGATTAAAAATTATTTGTATATAACAACGGTTGAAGAACCAACTGTGGTAATACAATCAAACTTTCATGGGTTCGAACATCAACGCCATAAAATATTTTATTCCTTTACGTTAAGGTGCACCTTTTCTTTTTTATTTATTTTAAAATTCATAAATAAAAGGGATATCGCTATGGTGCTTTTGTTTAACCGTTGTGATATATTTATAATAAATAAATACTTATCAATAAAATTGATTATGTTAATCATTGTGAAATAGTCCCATATATAAACAAATTAACTCTCACTTATTGATAGTAGCGCAGTTTCCTTCATAGTGAAACCCTATCACCCATTTTTCTCTTCTTCTTTTCCATTATCCATGAAACATGTGCTTCATACATTAAGGTATTCTTCTTCTTCCATCTTCTTGTTAGATAGTTCCCCATTATCTCGTTTGTGTGAGTGCAACTTGACTATTAGATGTTTTACATGATGTCAAAACTCAGAAAGCTGGCATTTCAGTATGGTGGACGGTATCCTTATGTCTTGTGTATCCCTTTGCATTAGAGGTCTTAAGAATCATTTAAAACAACTTTAAAATTGATCCCAATCATGAAAAATCACTTTTTACACAAAAACGACACTTAGTTGTCGACCTGAAATTTCTATGTGTCAACACATAAATTATGCATTTCTGCATTTTCTTAAAAGCTTCATTATGTGTCGAAACATATGATTTTTAGGTCGACACATAAAATCTATACGTCGACCCATACGATTTATGTGTTAGCACATGTACTGCATTATTAAAGCTTTTAGCCATTGTTTCTCATGTGTCAACACATAAATTTTCTAGGTCTACACATATTATTTTATGGGTCATTTTTTCATTATTTTTTCATTTCGAAAGTACCCTCTTTTATCTAAAAAGTGTCCAACTATAAATATATCATTCATGTATCATTCTAACTTGATGATACTATAAAATTTTCCTACTTTTTCTCTTCATCTTCAACCTTCCAATCTATGCATATACACCAACATTACATTGTGATGATGTTTCGTCGGGGTTCCATCTAGAAAAAGAATTGTGGATTTTCAATTGGTTTGATTTGAGATTTGTAGGGGTCTTCATCCGGGAAAAACCATCGGGTTTGTCCTCCAAAATCATTTGTTAAATTGGGGGTTTTCGTGCAAGATCGTGCGAAGGATCGTCCATGTGAAAAAAATCTTGGAGTGTTTGAAATCTTTTCAAGGAACCTTAGAGTGGTTGAAATCTTTTTAAGAAAGTAGCAAGAATTGGATGATAAAATCAGTGATCTTGTGTTGATAGTTTACAATTGGATTTACTCGAGTGAAAAATCCTTTAGAGTGTTTGAAATCTTTGCAAGTAATCTTGGGGTGATTGAAATCCTTTGAAGGAATTAGATTAAGCGGAAAATAGGTTGCATCTATCGGTCTTGGCCTTGTTGAATATCAAAAGAAGAGAAGGGTTAAATCGATATCAAACGGTTATGTTTTGTATAGTTGCTCTGAACACTTCTCTTATAATCATACTTTTACAAAGTAAGAAATTATCCTAATTCCAAATTTTGAATTTGGAGGAGATGTAGTCATAGAGAGGACGATTGGTGAACTTCCTAAACAAATCCTTATGTCACTTTTCTTTTATTGCTTTACTTGCTTTAATCTTCATACATCGATTTGTCAAATAGCATTGAGTAATTAATTGACGCGTAGGAATTTTTTGAAACTGTTTTTTATTTTGAATTGTGTATTGAGTTGCTTATAATCACTTTTGATTATAAGTGTTTTTTCATATCAACACAATACAAAATAAAAATCTGAAACTTTGATTGCACGCCAAGTGTTTGACAAATTGTTTAGCTTGTTTAATTCAAAAGAAAATTGAAATATTCTATCTCTTACTTTCATTTACTCTATATATGTAATGTGCTAAATGTGTTGTTTGATCGATTGATTCGTATAAAATTTCTCTTTGATTATTAAATTTTAAATTTCTTTGTTGATTAGCTTATAATCACTTTGATTGTAAGTGCTTTTGCATATCAAATCTCAAAGAAAATTTTGAAAATTTGATTGCGTTCCACATGTTCGATAAATTGTTATGTTATATTTTTAATATGGTTTCATTGGAAATAGGAAACCATTGTGTTGAATATTAAATGATTAATTGATATATTATTATTTTGATTGATTTTATCATTATGTTAATTCCATATGGCTCTTGCATATCCAAATTTCTAATAACTAGGTTTGTTTAGACTACTATGTTGATCTAGGACAAAATCCTTCCGCTCAACATTGTTTTTCAAATAAGTTTTAAATAATCTTTTTGAAAGGTAAATTTTGTTTAGGGATCTATTCACCCCCTATAGATCTGGTGTCGTAGTCTAATAGTTTGTTGTATATTGTTTTTGTTGATTGTTTTCATTTTTTTCAGATTCGTCTTCACTATCTTAACAAAGATCATCCTTTGGCTATGGTACATATTATTTGTGTAGGTATAAAAATATTACAAGAAGCATGAAGCTATGATGGAAACTTCATCCACCTTACACTTCTTCTTCATAGCTTCACAAATAAGATGTTTTTCATACTCTGTTGATAAATAAATTTGTAGTTTCACACGTTGATAACTTTCATGGTTATTGTAGGACTCAACAAGAATAAAATATTTTATTAAATAAAGAAATAATAACGACATCGAACTTCATCTAGTTTGAGATACAATGAAAAGAAATATAAGAAGTATGAAGTTGTTGTGTAAGCTTATTCCTTCTTATATTTTTTCATTACTTCACAAACTAGATGAACTTAACAATTGATTCCTGTTCCACGACTTGTTTCAATAAAAGGTGTGTCCTGTAATTTATAATATATCTTTTTCATTGTTCACAAATTTATAGTATCTGATTTCGTTATATGATGTTATTTGATTTTATTATATTCTATATAGATTGTTTGTTTCACTAACCATCACTTAAAATACATCCATTTAAATTGACATGGATACTTATAATCTGTAAATTAAGTTGTATTTGAAAATCAACTTATACCAATCAATGTTTCTGAATTGCATGCATCTCATCGTTCATTACATGCTCTTTTACATATAGATTATGGTATAATGACATGCTCCTCCGATGCATTGTTGCCTTCGATTATAGTTAAATTTCATTAACTATAATTTATTGGATAATCTGCCTCATCATCAGCACTTATAATCGTAAAAATTTACGATTATAAAAATTACGATAATAAGTGATGATGATGAGGTAGATTATCTAATATCTTGTTGTTATGGAAATTTAACTATAATCGAAGATAACGATGCATCGAAGGAGTTAGACCAACAAACCACAATATATATGTAAAAGAGCATGAAATGTACGATAAGACGCATGCAATCAAAAAACAATGGTTTGTTTAAGTTGGTTTTCAAGAATAGTTTAATTTTCAGATTATAGACTTCTTCATCAATTTGAATGCTTGTATTTATTTAGTGAGGTGTATGGAAAACAAACAATCTACATATTATATAATAAACTCTGGGTACTTTCAACAACAGTAATCTATTGTAACCTTGACCAAAGGTAATTTATGTTTTACATAATTACTGCTGATGGATTTCTAACCCAGTACCTAAGTGTATATATCACAATGGTTTATAAGCATAACTGTTGTGATATGTGGCGCACGTCGTGCCTTTCAATAATGGTCTCTAGACTGCAGTGAAAATAACGAACTTACAACCATACGCTACTCTACAACGGCATGTCACGCGTGATGGTATCCCTTTTCCAACCGTTGTGTAAGGGATTTTATGTACTAGTGCATGTGACACCCATATTGATAACCAACAATAGACATGGTAATAACATATTACGAAAGATATATTTTGTAATGGTGAACATGTCAAAAAATTGCAAAATATTCTTTCAGAATAACTTATGTTAATGTAAATTAATTAAAGGGAGTAGATAGAAAATTTTATGAGGATGATTGCTCAAAAAAAAAAAAATTAAAATTGAATGTTAAAATATTTAGATGGACCAGTTACTTATTTAACTTTTTATATCAATAGGTTACCTAATTGAATTAAATCATGCACTTGACAATACTTTTTTTTCTCTTTCTTTAAAGTTTTTATTTTTAAAGTGTCTAAATTTAGATTGGGACATGAATGAATCCTAAACAAAAACAAGAGAGGATACATTTTAGAGCGGCCTAAACCACCATAATTGTTGCACCTCATACACACCTCTAAATTTATCTAGAGACATATTGAATCTGAAGAAATAAACAAGAACAATTAAGTTTTATCCTATTTAAATAACTATATGAATCAATTCCTACCATAACCGATTCCTGTCATAATGTTCTATGATCTTAAATAGTTTTAAAGTAAATAAAATAATATTTCACCAAAAAAATCAATAAAATGAACAGTACTTTAATGCAAGAGGATTAAGATGAGATAAGTATCTTCTACCTTAATTACTTGTAAAGTCTCTCCCAATCACAACACAAAAGTAAAGGTAAGCCTTTTCAATTCAATTTTTGACTCCTTGAAAACAAGAAAGCCAATGAAAACAACTTTCTCTCCTGATTGTAAGTTACCTAGTAACCTAGACTTCCGAATAATAGAACAACACATTGTTGGATTTATTACCTAATTATTCACAAAAACACCAACATTGGACCACCTAAAAAGTAATCATAGTATCTACACACACTTGCAAGAAAAATTTCAGATAGTTTATACGCCCCTTGATTGCATCATTTTCAGATTTAAAAAATGTGACTAATCCTTCATTTTACTATATAGTACCAACCAGCTAGTCAAGGGCAGCTTCACTAGGGTGGTCCATTAATTCACCTGATTTTAATGCCTACCTCTCTTTCTTATTAGGTAACGTCTTTGTTTCTTCTTTATAACCATTTCAGGTGTGTGAGTAGTGGAGCCATTCATCTAACTCTATCTTGTCTCTTTTTTTCTTCTTCTTTCCATTCCTCTAAATCAAAAGGAAATTATCTAGTTACATTGTAACCATTAGTTATAACAAAGATTTAATGCATATATATTATATATGAAAAGGTAAAAATAATTAAGAGAGAATAAAATGATATAATAGATGTATAATGAAAAGGACTATGTATATGTAATCTAAGAGATATAGAAATAAAAACAAGAAAAGTGGGGTTAGGATTTATATGGCCCCAACCCAAGTTAGATATGAAAAAACCCTAATGATAGATATTGATAGCAACTTTTCTATGAAGCAAGTGTAAGTCCCATGGGTAGAATTTTACACCCAGAAAGGAGGCATTGAGCTATTGTGGACCATACATGACCTGTTTCTCAAACATGTCCCCCCTCTTTTAGCACAATAACCACGCTAAATGTTTCTACGTACCCTATTGTCTTGTCTTCATTTTTTTTATTTCTACTACTATAAATGCTTTGCTATCTTTCATTCTCAGGGCAACCCAACTTTAATGCTCCTAACTTTTACATATTTATCTTGTACTCTACACATTTCTTTTTATTTCTGTCCTATTCTTTGAAAAATGTTTTTTTTTTATTTCATGAACTTATTTAGTTATTTTAATTAATCATCTTATTGACATTTATGTGTATATATTTTAGACATTATTTTTCTCTACACTAGGGCAAAAAATAATTATATCCAAAAGTATCGGAACAAATACATAATACTCTCCTGGAAAATGAATTTTCATTAAAGACGAATCATTCGGGTATTATTTGAGTTTGATTCTGTTTGAAAATAAAATTTATCTAGTAAGTCGTCTCTATTATAAAATTATATTAGTCGGTTCACTATATGAATCAGAATTAATTGACTAAAATAAATAAAAAATACATAATACACTCTATTAAAAATTTACACACACAATCGTGAGTATTAGAGTTCAAACTTTAAAAAGATGATGTTCAACTTAATAATATTAGCTTCGATTAGTTGAAGGGTAATTTACAAACTACATAATACATAGTTATTAATATGAAAATGAGCAGACATTTATTATATAATAAAAACTTTGAGGTTCTATGAATCACTTAGTCAGACAAACAATAAATATAACTTAATAACACATAGAACATATTAATTTAATAATATAAATTAATTGAAAATAATAGTATATGTTGTGTCCGACATCATATACATTTTAAATTAGAAATATCGGTGTTATATGAATTATGTTTGATTAGTGTCTTGAAGTATTTTTGTCTAAATTATATAGATTTATTTAGGTTTCTTTGTATCATTTGATTTGTGAAGTCTCTTAACCAAACTGGACTAAGCTAGTTAGCTAGAAATTACAATCTGATTAACCTAGCTATACACACACTCTTTTTAAAGTCACGAGAAGCCACTGTCCCATTGTTCATTCAATTGTGTGTGTGTGAAGAGAGATAAAAGAGAGAGAAAGAGAGAGATTCAAGAGAGAGGAAGGTGGCAGAGGAACTGATAGAGAACTTTCAAAGCTCTTTATCTTTTACCATCACTCAACTAGCCTCTATATTGCAGTCTCAAACTGAAAGTCTCACAAATTTTCTTAAAAGCTTTAGTTTCATTTTATCTTCCTTTCTCAAACAAACTGGTGTTTCTTTCTTTTGTTTATCTATCTCATACTATTATCATTTCATTTTTCACCTCTTTCTGTCTCTCTTTCTCTCTGTCGGTACCATCATCATGTAGGTCTTCCCCCCACTATACTACTACTATACACCTTCTCATTCATTCACATTTATCTTCTTCATTAACTCTCTCTCTTTTCTCTCTTCATTTTTTTTTTCAGGAGACCACAAGGAAACCCTTTAGATCTTAACAATTTGCCTGATGAATACTCTAGAGATCATGGTAAACAACTCCTTGAAGACACCGATCCACCCGGTATTAACTAGTTTCACCTTTTTCTTCACAAATCATAAATTTCTAATATTAATATCATATACTTATCAATCATATATTATATATATGTATATCAAAATAATTGTATAGTATTAATAAAGTGTTATATTTCATAATTACATTATACTTTCCGAAGGTATATTCTTTTGACCATGAAACATGTTTTTGTTTTTCCTTGTCTTTTTTCATTTTTCCTTAAACTTCAAAGATATGATGCTAATAAAAAATGAATTATGTAGTACGTATGTGCTTGTATCGCATATCTGCACCAATACTTGTGGTTACCTTAAATTTATTTATTTCTTCAAATTTTTACTATGTGAGTATCAGGATCTTATTCAAGATGTTGGTGGTTCATAGAAAATGAATAAATATTGATGAAGTTTAAGAAAAAGAAGATGTCTCATTGGAAGATGTTTTTGTGGTGTTGACAGGTTGTAGGAAAAAGAAAAACGGCGGGAAGGATGGGAAAGAAGATTGTGGGAAGGTGTATGAGTGTAGATTTTGTTCCCTCAAGTTCTGCAAATCTCAGGCTCTTGGGGGGCACATGAACCGTCACCGACAAGGCTAGTTCATTTTTTTATTCTTAATAAAATATTTAAGGTCACTACTAGTAGTTCAGTTCTTAATGATTTGTCTATGAAGGGTTGTCACTTGTCATCTCAAACACAAAGATGTGAAAATTGGTTAAATTCTTTATTTCATGGTTTTGATTTGAAAGGTATCTTTTGTGTTTGATTTGATGTGTATTTGTTGTGATTGTGTTGTTGGGTTTGGTGGATGCAGAAAGAGAAACAGAGACACTTAACCATGCTCGTCAGTTAGTCTTCAGAAATGATCATAACATTGCACCACAACCTCCATCTCACCTTGTAGGGTATGTAAAAAATTCATCATTTCTTCTCAAATTCAATTACTTTTAGTTTCAAAAAATTTAATATTTTTTAAAAATATTGAGTCAAATGTTAATTTTGCTTGTAATTATTTAGCAAAAAACATTTAAATCTCTGAGAGTAAGTTTTGCTATCTTCTCTGCTCTAAAGATTAGTCTATGCAGTTACACTCAGAGATACACTAATCAAATTTTTTTTAGTACATGCACTTGCACTTAGATATATCTGATATGTATTATTTACTTGAATTTCTCAACCTCATAAAATTTCTTTGTGTTTTTGTTTATTAAAAGTTGATTTTTATTGAATTATATGTTTTAGATGTTGTCCACCACCAATGGCAACAAGTGGTTATATTCCAGCAAATACCATGGGAGTTGATCCAACAATGGCGCCGAGATTTCCGAGATACTTTTCGGGTTCATCGTCTTCAACTCACGTTCCACCGCCACCTCCACCGCCGCCACCAGCACAGCCATTTCTATACTCTTCGCCTTCACGGCCGGTATCATTTCCAACGCACATGATTCCTCATCATCCAATGAACGAATACCACGTCGGGCACGTGATGAGCAGCAGCCACAGCCATCACCAGCAGCAGTATGGTGGACATGGACAACACAACTTTGGTGGAGGCGAGTCGAATTACACGTGCATAGGTGCACCGGTTGGACAAGGTTTTGTTGGTGGTAATGGTAATGGTAACGGTAACGGCGGTGGTGGTGGTGGTGGGAAGGATCATCATCAAGAGGAAGGAGGAGGAGCGATAAACTGGGGAAGAAACTATTCAGGAACACAGCAGCATCGTTTGGATAGTCATTCAGCAGCGATCAATCGCTTTCAAGATGGTTTCTAATGAGAGTGAGAGAGATTCTTTATGAGATTGTGTTCTTTGTTCAATGATAACAACAAAATGTGACAGATGCAGGTGTAGTGATGATGAGTCATGAGAGAGAGAGAGAGAGAAAGGGTTTGGTTTGGTTTGGTTTTATTTTGGTTTTTATGTTAAATTTTTCTACAACAAACAGCTTTTTAGATCATTCACACTCTCAGCTACTTTGGCTTGGAGCTGTGGGAATTTGTATGGGAATTAACAACAACAACTTTCATATCAACTCAAACTTTTCAATCCTCCTTTTTTGCATTTTAATTATATCTTCTTTTTGCATGTTAAATGGTTTGTTTCTTAGATACCATAACATAACTCAAAGGAAACCAGTGTTTTCACCTTATAAATATTAGGAAAATTCTTAAGTTTTACTAATTTATATGCAAAAAAATAATAATTTAATTTATAATTTATATTTGTATTTAAAAAACAAATATAAAAAATGATAATATTAAATAATTAGAAAATAAATATATATTTAATAAAATTCTTATAACATTTGTGTTTGAATCTTGATTTTTTCTCAATCATATTTAAACGTGTTTGGATTGTCGGTGAACAAAATTTATTTTGAGAATATTGAATTTGATATAACTGATATTAAGAGAATTGAATTTAATAAAATTGATTTATGTTTGGATACAATAATATAGAATTAGTGATTGTTATCAATTATTATTGTTAGCCTAGTTTTATTAAAATTTATTTTGAAGGGTATAATTATCAAAATGGTAATAAATTTTAATACATATTAAAAAGATAAGAAGTAATTGATGAAAATTAAATAGGGTAAAGAAAAAAAATTAAAAAGAATGGTCACAAATAACATATAATAACTTTATAATTGATTCTACTAAACTCAAAAGTTAAGAATTGTAGTTTCTACTACTAGAATTGCTTTTAGAGTAGAATTGATTTTGGAAAAGTAAGGCCAAAAGAAGAAAAACAATTTTCAAGTTGAAGTGGACTAGAAGTGCTTTTGAGATTTGTAGAAGTCAATCCAAACGTATATTTAGAGACGTATATTTAGAGGGTGTTGATTTAAGATCTTTCTTGTAACCTATAAAAAATTATGGTGGAATGTGACAGATATGCGAATCGGGTTTGCACCTCTAAAAATTAAAAGTTGCAAAGATTTCTATTAATCCTCTTCCCTCGAAAGTGCATAAAAAAATACGAGGGATATTAAAGGGTGCAAAACTAAAACGTTTTTTTTTTGTAAGCAAGTTGTATTGATAGACGAGAACTAAGGGTTCTCAAACCTGAATACAAAATAAACGAGCAAAACTCAAAAACAAAGAGATTACATTTGGGATGAATAATTACAATTAGACTTACGAAAGAAAGAACAAAGAGTCTTTGCAAAAGTCGTAGAAATTACAATTGACGTGAGTAATTTTTCCAATAAAATACCATAGTCGTATCATAGCTTTAATATTCCAAACCCTATCAAAGACATTCCAAACATCTTCCCGAAAAATAACACCGTTCTTTAACAATCAAATATTCCAATAAATAGTCAACCACAATAAACCTTCCTTTCCTCTCTTCACCTTTTTATCTTTACAAAAACTAAATCACTCCATAAAACTCTCTTTGCAAAACTAAAACGTTAATTCCTTCTATTAAAAAATATCAATAAAATCAACATATTTGACAGAACACACTTGTTTTACCACCTCTATTAAAATATTTATCACCAATAAAAAAATGTAAAATATATATATTTATCAATTTTTTTTTAATATTTAACAATATTTCTTAATTTTCAACCTTTATCACATCTATTATCACCAATAAAGACAAAGTAAAATATTTATATTTATCAATTTTTTTTTTAATATTTAACAATTTTTCTTAATTTTCTATTTTCTAACTATATTTATCAATATAGGTGACAAAATTCAATCTTTTTCTCTCTTATTCTCACTCTAAATATTCGAACCAAATTTGGAATTTTCTACTTTCTTACAATGTTTTTGGTCTCAATGTCACACCATGTTTGCACGATTAGGGTAATAAGACAGAGAGATACTTGGAATCCTCTTTTGAGTTGAGACTTGACACAACCATTTTGTTCTGAATATATCATTGAATGATATTGGTACCTCATTAGGAAGATCAATATTAACCAAATTGTTCCATGTAACATTATATTATTAATGGTTAAAAACTAACTTTAAAATACAAAACATTTGCATTACGACATTTTATGCTATATATTTAATTTGTACATATCGAACAAAACTTCTACTCATGGTGTCAGTTCAGCTGGATCGAACAGCTTCTTCCGAATATTGAAGCAGCTTTAGAGGAATATATACTTCCTAAGTGAACTAGGTGTATATTCAACATTATTGTATACAGTAAAACACGTGTAAATTTGGATATTCAAACCAATGATGTATGTTTTCCCCTCTTCATTTTATGTTCTTTGACGTATTCACCATCCAATGTTTTTTGATTGGAAACACACTTATTTTTAGACAAAAATACATATAACATAATATAGAAATCATATTTTTGTAAGAATTTGTAACCACAAAGTTTGTGTTGTCGAATAATTGAGTGTTGAGACAGAGAGAAATAGAGAGTGAAAAATATGAATATTTGAATTAATGAGATATCTAAAGATATACAACTACATAAGACGATGTATAATTAGTAAACAGAAAAATTGAAAAACTCTCAGTTGTAATCGGTTCAAATATTATGTCAATCAGTTGCATTTAGATACTCTCTCAAAATCTGAATGAAAAACTATAAATGTAACATGTTGACATAATTAGAGTCGGTCTAGACTTTTTAGAGATATGTGGTAATTAATAAAAATAGACACCTAAATAAATAAAAATTGAGCAATTAATTTTGAATTTTGATTTTCTTTTTTTAGATTCTATTTTTACATTATAGGTTAATGATTAAGAAATTATTATATGTAAATATAAAAGCGCATACGAGCGATGATTAACTTGATTGGTCATGGTAGAACTTATTGGATGCACAAAGTAATTCAAATGAGTGTAGAAGTTTCTGGGAGCATTGCATTGGAAACAACTTAAAAAATAAGAACTTCTAGAATCAGAAATTTGGAAGCATCGAAGAGGAAATTGATTTCCTGGAATGTGGAAATCGATTTCCACAACAATTTTTTGTTTTCTGTTTGTTTCTTCTTTTCTGTGTTGTGAAGGGGAAATCGATTTTCATGTTTGGTGAAATCGATTTACAACCCGTGTTTTGGGCTTTTTAGCTAATTTTTGGGTCTGTTTTGTTTCCCAATTAGTTTTAGAAGCTTGTAAAAATACCCCTATTGTAATATTGTGAATGTTAATGTCAGTTTTGATATTTCTCCTCAATTTACTCTCTCTCTCTCTCTCTCTCTCTCTCTCTCTCTCTCTTATTTTCTCCAAATTCACTTCATCTTCCTCAATTATCCATCACCCTTCATTGACTCACCATCAAGCTTTGTGTTTGTTCCAACATTTGGTATCAGAGCCTGTTAGCACGAAAGAGACATTAAGTGGTCCAAAGTGGGTCTGTGCGATGAAAGAAGGGTTGGAATAGATTGAGAAAATTAGTATTTAGGAGTTGGTTAATCTACCAGAATGAAAGAAGCCATAAGTGAAGGCAAATCCAAAAGGTGAAATAGTCAAGTTTAAGGCTCGACTAGTTGCAAGGAATTTTTGCAAAGGAAAGGAATAGACTTTGATGAGGTCTTTGTATTTGTTGATAGGATAGAAATCATATGACTGGTTATTGGTGTTGCAAATAGAAACAATTGGTTGATTTATCAAATAGAAGTAAAATCTGCGTTTTTGAATAGTCCGTTTGAGGAGGAAGTATATGTAGAACAGCCCCCTGGTTTTGTTGTGACAAATCAAAAGGGAAGGGTCTACAAATTGATGAAAGCACTTTATGGTTTACAACAAGCTCCTAGAGCTTGGAACAAACACAATGATGGTTTCTTAGTTAACGTTGGCTTCTAGAATTGTGTTTCCAAACATGGTGTCTATGTGAAGACGGGTGTAAGCAAAGATGTGATCGTACTTTGCTTATATGTGGATGACCTATTGATCACGGGCAGCAATGAATTGAGTATTTATAAGTTCAAGAGTGAACTTATGGAGGAGTTTGAAATGAGTGACCTTAGAATCATGACTTACTTTCTTAGCATAGAGTTCCATAAGTCAAAATTGGGACAACTCATGCATCAAAGAAAGTATGCTCTTGAGATTTTGAAAAGGTGTGATATGGAGCATTGTAATGCTTCTAATATACCTGCTAAAGTGAGGTTGCAGCTTTCCAAAAGTGACGATGAGCAGAATTTGGATCCAGCACAATATAGGAGATTGATTGAATCGTTACATTACTTTTGCAATACGCGGTCAAATTTGGCGTTTAGTGTCGGTATTGCGAGTAGATTCATGGAGAGACCAAAGGTATCTCACTTGGCATCATTTAAGAAGATCGTAATATACGTCAAAGGAAGTCTTGGCTGCAGAGTTCTCTTTCCCACTGCTAATACAGGTCGAAAATGTGATTTGCTCGGTTACATGGATTCAAATTGGTGTGAGATAAGGATGATCGAAAGTCTACAACAGGTTATATCTTTATGTTTGGAGGAACGCCAATCTCTTGGTGTTTTAAAAAGGAACCTATAGTGGCAGAGGCCGAGTATATATTTGTGTTGTTGTACCAAGTTGTGTGGCTTATAAATCTGCTGGAAGACATGGGCAACAAGGTTGGAAAAGTTGTCACACTCTTGTTTGATAATGTTTCAGCCATTAATCTTTCCAAGAATCTCATTTCACGTGGTAAGAGCAAGCATATATAAATAAGGTTTCATTACTTGAGAGATTTGGTGTGTAAAGGCAAGCTAAGATTGGGATACTATCAAAGCGAATAACAAGTTGCAGATTAGTTGCCGAAAGGAGTCACAAATGTTGTATTCAAGAAGTTGGTGATGA